GGGGTATGTTCTTCCTTCCTCTAGAGGTTGCATACATGTGATGATTACCAATGTTTCCAACATATATATAGTATATTCTTTATGCTGTAGGGACGGCCTTAATCAACTTAGCCCTTGGATTTAGACTTCAAAACAAGCATCAATGCCTCGCACAAGGCTAGCTTTCTCCACAAGAATTTGAGCTTTGTGACAACAGCCAGGTTTGCTTTCCTTCTCTTATTCTCTTTCTATTGTTCTGAAGGATTCGGTAATTTTGTATTTGTTGAAGGTGGTGAATCAAGTACATAAAACTTTACTGCCTGGCTTGAAATACATATCATTTTAGTTACTTAAGCATGTGTGTTCTTACCGTGTATATGACAACATCCATATATCTTCATAGAATTGTAGACTCTTTCAGTCAGGAGTCTGCATAATTGATGATTTGTTTCTGTTGATTATGACAAATTGAGCCTTTTTGTTGATTTATCGCATTTTCATCTGTTCCCTGTAATTCTGTTGGAATGAATTATTATATGTTGCTGACTGAACATAATCATATTTTTGGAAGTTTTATACTATCTTTCAGTAGCTAAAAATAAAATAGATATGCCAATTGATTTGCTCTATAATCTTTGCTCAGGAAGCTCATACAACATTGCTCGAGCATGTCACCAGTTGGCCTGGTGCTCTGGCAGCTTCATATTATGAAAAGGTACTTACAATAAGGAAAAGGATTACCCCATCCCAAAACATCCAACTAAGAATCCAGACCGTACTCAAAATCAGGAATCAGGTTACTGTGATCTTCGCGTGAGGCAGCTTTCAATCTGCACTTGATCTAAAAAAGTGGAGCAATTGATCTTGCCAGGCAGGTCTTGGAAGTCACTGCACGCTTAGATTATTCTTCTGGAGACTCACTGGCAATGTTTGTGGTATGTTTACTGTTGTAATAGTGTATGTGACATATTAAGCTATATGGTTAGATTGTTTGGAGTAATTTTATGGGATTTTTTTCTTGTATTCTCTTTTCAGTTAAAATTACCGAACAGTAATCTAGTAGTGCCCTTGTACTATAAAAGATTGAATAGATTTACCTTGTACTATAAAAAGAATTGAATAGATTTAGTATTGTTTAAAACTGATTAGATATAATTATTAACGATGCTATTTCTTTTTGTAGCTGATATTTGAATAGAATATTTTGTAATTTATTTTTCAAGGAAAGAAGTAGAATAATGTCTTCAGTGTAAAGTTGTTTATTTATTTTCTATTTCCTTGTTTACAACTATCGGTCAATGTAAAATATAACGATTTTGTCAAATTTTTCGCGTTATAAGATTGTAAAATTTTGTCGGTTAGTATTAGTTGATAGTAGTAAATGAGATCTGAATTAAAATATAAATAAATGCAAATATTTGCATGCTTAGAAGTAGTATAATTTACTTGGATGGATACCGAAAATTTACACAATTAGATTGAACTGAGGCCGTGAACAAAATGAAATAAAATAAATAAGATTGTTGTTACTTTCCTGGAAGGCCGAATTAGATATACTCACCATCAACGTTCCAGAAACTGTTCCCTGACGATATTGAAGCTCTCAAAACAAAGGCAAATGTTTACTTTCATCTGAGTTTATAAAATGCCTTATTTGATTCAGTAATGCTATTGTAATTTGCTTTTAAGCTCCAGTGATGCATATCTAAATTGGCGAAATTTATCAATATATATAATTTTTTACGAAAAGCATGGTTGTTTGGCTATATGACCATAGTTTCTGACTGAACTAATTGTCTATAGTGTTGTATATATCTAGAGAAATTCAATTAGTTCTTTTGCTTGCTGTGTGCGTGAAATGTGACTTTGTCAATCCATTGTTTAAATTGATCAGCTGATTGACGTACTCATTGCTTAATAGTTTTTCAATTCTGCATTATCTCATTGGTGACGGTAATGTTCTACTCATTTTGATGTATAAATTGCATCATTCTGTCAATTCCTTGATCACAATGATCACAGTTGGGATGACATACTCATTGTTGAAAATGAAATCATATTGTTGTAGTTTTCCATTTCTTGTATTTCATTGTTGACGGTAATGTCTAGTCATTTCATATGTGAATATTTGGTTGGAATTCTTTCTCGATGATATAAATTGCTGTCATTTTGTCATCCCTTGGTCACATTGATCACAGCTGGGGTGGAAAGGAATGTTCTAGTCATTTTGAATATTTCGTTGGAATTCTCTCTGGTGATATAAATTGTGGTCATTCTGTCAATGCCTTATGGAATGATCACTGCTGACTTGTTGAAAATGAAATCACAGTGTAGTTTTCCATTTCTTGCGTTAATTGTTGAAATAGCGTGATAGAATGTTGTAGTAATTTCAATTGTGACATTTTTTGTTAGAATTCTCTCTGTGATGTAAATTGCGTCATTCTGTCAATCCCTTGTTCAAATGATCACAGCTGACGGGTGAGGTGACATACTTATTGTTGAAAATAAAATCATATAATAATAATTTTCCATTTCTTGCATTATCACCGTTGAATATGGTGATATAATGGTTCAAGTCAATGATATAAAAATTCAGTGTCGAGACTAAAATCATACTGTAAACGAAATCTTTTTTTTTTTTTTTTCGATGTATTTGGGCCATGTCTACATTCATGCATTTCATCATTCACGGGAAATCTTCTAGCCGTTTCAATTTGTGAATATGTCGGTGGAATTCTTTCTCAAATAATATATAAACTCCACTGAAAATGTGATTCTGTCAATCTCTTTGTTCACATTTGATTTACTGGTCGATTACTGAACAGTCTTTCAACATTTGTGAAGGATTTTCCAATATCTAATGACAACTTGGTTGGAAAAGTAAGCGAAAATCATGACCTCTGTGTAGCACGTTAGAAAAGACGGAAGATTTTTTTATATATACATGCATACACAGGTGTGTGTGAAAGAAAGTTCCAAATTGGCGACGTGGTTAGGAAAGTAAGGGATTGTCGATTCTTAATAATAGCCTGTGTAGCAGGTGAGAAAAAGAGTATATATATATATATATATGCACACAGCCACACACACTAATAATAATTCTTTAATTGGGACATTCACATTCCGATGTAATCGGAATACATGCATGACTCTGTATGGTTGTAAAATATCATTTTAATTTAATGTAATAAATCTGATGGTCAATATGTGCGGTTCTATATAAAATTATTCTCTTGTAAGAACGTCTTGAGACTTTAAATTTAAGACATTGGATTATGTTAATGGTTGAGATAGACTATTGGTATTACAATTGTACATAATTTTAGGGCCTATTTGATATAAAATTTTAAAATACAGTTTTTTTTTTTTTAATACAACAAATCTTATGAAAATACGTTTGATAAAAATGAGTTGAATTATTTTTAAAAACAGTTTTTGAATAGAATAATACTATACATACATCATTCTCATACAACATTATAATTTATATGATATGATTGAGTGAAAGTTTAATTTTAACTTTAAATTAGTCAATCATATCTTACCACATAATGTTATATGAGAATGATGTATGTATAATATTACTTATTGGAATATGAGTAATACTACACATACATCATTTTCATACATCATTTCTCATACAACATTAGATGATAAGATATAATTGGTTAATTTAAAGTTAAAATTAAACTTTCACCCAATCTTATCTTGTCACATAATGTTGTATGAGAAATATTGTATGAGAATGATGTATTTGCTGTATTACTTTTGGAATATAATCCTAAAAATTATTGCAAAACTGGAAAACTGTTAAAAGCTTTTTCATAACTTTTAATCTAAAAATAATACATATTTTCAAATATAATTAAAAAATTGGAGTCGTATTTTAGTTTTTGAAATTTATTTTCGAATCATAAATTAAATGTGTAAAGCAATTAATTAAAATTACAGAGTAGATTTGATTGAGATGTTTGATGATAAAGCATATAGCCGTCTATTTTCAACACGTTTTTGACGCGGCCAAATTTTAATCACTTCCATCAACTATCTGATGTCGGCGTGGTTAAAATTCATTGGATAAAAAAGTCGTAACTTCTCAACATAAAAATACAAGTATTAAATAACCTCGTGGTAGGAAGCCATATTGTATATTTATATTGCAAACATATAACATCTCATTCAATTTACAAGAAAACAAAGAAAGTAAATTTCTATATATGTATAATGAATGTTTCAATATTGGGTTCTCATAAATCTTACGACAACGTGGTTGGTAAAACATGTGACAAAAGAGTGTAGATTTTTTTTTTAATAATAATGATATAATAAAAATAAATTTATGATTGTGTATAATTGTTAAATCTCATTTTAGTCTAATGTAATAAATACAACGTACGGTCAGTACAAAATTATATATATAGAATTATTCTCTTATAAGGACAATACGAGACTTCAAATTTAGGACATTACGGTTGATATTACAGTTGTTCAAAATTTTAGAGTCTGTTTAATATAGAATTTAAATACAATTTTTCGTTTTTGAAAATAAAGGATATAACAAATCTTATGAAAATACTTTTTGTAAAAATAGGTCAAACTGTTTTCGCATACAATCCTAAAAATTAATACAAAACTAAAAAAGTATTAAAAGTATTTTTTTTCACGGTTTTCTATAGCTTTTAATTTAAAAACAATTTTTTAAATTTTATATGAGACATACTTTCAAATATTCAAAATTAAAACAAATTACGAGTACATTCAGATGTTTCATGATGAATTCACTAATCGAGCATATTCCTGTTTCAAACTAGCCGTCTATGTTCATGTCGTTTTCAGGTCACCAAAGTTTACCCTGCAGCAGCAAATTGCTTTCTAACTTCAACCACCAACCATCCTCAATATAATAAGCTTTTTCTCGACCTGCTGGCAGACGTGGTTGAAAGGTAAGAGACTAAACTCTTGACGTCTGTGTGGTACTAATTTATTAGAAGAGAAACTCATTACTCAAAAAAGTCTCAACTCTCTACTTATAAATACAACTAGTTAATGAGCTTGTAGTGTATCTCCTGCAACTTACAAGAAAAGAAAGAAAAAATGGTTCATCCAGTATTTGAAGATCTTGATATTGTAATTGTTGGTGGGGGCATTTGTGGCCTTGCCACTGCCCTTGCTCTTCATAGGTATTTGTTTCTCTTCTTTTTTTCCTAACGTTATGTCTACTCTGTTACACATGTTAAGTGGTGCTAAATAGTTGTCTTGATACTTAATGTTGCAGGAAGGGTATGAAGAGTGTGGTGTTGGAGAAATCAGAAGTATTAAGAGCATCAGGGGGTGCCATTGCAATTCAGCCTAATGGGTGGAGAGCTTTGGATGAACTTGGTGTTGCTTCAAAGCTCAGGACTAATGGCATCCTCCTTGAAAGGTATGCTTCGCAGTATTCATTACATGACAAAAGCTACCCCTCTGCTTTCTCCTCATCTCTTTACATAATTAACTTTGATTATTGTAAATACACAGGATACATGAAATATATCTCAATGGCGGCAAGCCAAAAGACAAATTTGTCGACTACTCGTAAGTTTTAATTTATCATTACCATGCCTTTAATTAATGTTTGATTATAAATTTTTTTATAAGAAAATGAAACTTAATCAACTGATCATATAATTTTAATATTAATTGGCAGGAACATTGGGGAAACTCGTTGGGTAAAAAGAAGTGATCTAATTGAATCTCTAGCTCAAGATCTCCCTCTTGGCACAGTGCGAGTTGGATGCCAAATTTGCTCTGTGAAAATAGACGCAAACACTTCTTTCCCCACTCTTCAATTGAATGATGGCACTATAATTAGAGCCAAGGTATTTTATACTCTTCAATAATAATGAAGCTCTAAATAATTGCATATATTTCTGTTCTATATATGATACTGGCATAATGCATACCGACAACTAGTTAAATATAATATAATAATCATTCTCAAGGTCTATATCACAAAATTATGCCTTCTAACATTAACCATTGCTGATAAATAACGTACCAGATTGTTGTTAATATATTTACGAATTAATAAAATATTTGTCAAGTTGTTTTCGGACGGTTTATTTTAAGGTTTAAAACTTAAAGGTAGAGAAATTTTTATTATTTCAGAAACCTTAAGAGTCTAATTAGGAGTTATTTGATTGCAGATGTTGATTGGATGTGACGGAGCCAACTCTGTGGTTGCTGATTTTCTTGAGTTGAATCCCAAGAAGCTTCACCCTTCAAGTGGAGTGAGAGGATTTACATATTTTCCAAATGGCCATGGATTTGCCCCTGAGTTACTCCGAACCATTAGAGATAAAACTATGGCTGGGGTAGCTCCGGTCAATGATAATCTGCTTTTCTGGTTCGTAAATCACCAATACAATTATCAGGGTATGTACTTATATATGACTTTAATTGTGCTTTTAAATATCGATTTGTTTAATGATAATTATGTACCTTTTAATAAAAAAAATTATGTAATGCGGGTTTTTTTCTCTCTCTATTTTCATTATTGGAATGAAGATCAAGTAAAATAGAAATCCGACAAATTTTAGAGAGAATAGTGGTAAATAGGAATTTTTTTCATTTATTATATAAGCTTGTTTCATTAACTTTCTCAATCATTATTGTCTTATTAACTACAGATTCAAAGATGCTCGAAGATCCAAAGAAGATCAAACAAATGGTTCTAGAGACCATCAAGGGTTACCCTCAAAAAACAACAGATGTGATACAAAACTGTGACATTTCCTCCCTATCATTCAACCGTTTGAGATATCGTGCCCCATGGGACATATTGCTAGGCCAGTATCGGAGAGGAACTGTGACGGTGGCCGGAGATTCGATGCATGCAATGACTCCGTTCGTTGGCCAGGGTGGGTCCGCCAGCATAGAAGATGCAGTTGTGTTGGCTAGATGCATGGCAAGAAAATTTCCAGCCAATTATAATAATGATCATAAAGATTTCAAAAGTAAGAAGATGATTGAAGAAGCAATTGATGAATATGTGAATGAGAGGAGAATGAGACTCGTTAAATTGGCTTTACAATCTTATCTTTTGGGTACATTAGTGGATACTCCTTACTTGCTTGTGAAGTTGATAATGTTGGTGCTTTTGAGTGCCTTTTTTAGGGACAGATATGCTCATGTTCGGTATAATTGTGGTAATCTCTGAGGACTCGTTGCTTCAAGAGCCAGCTAGCTAGCATAGCTTCAATGGTTGCACTTTATAATAATTATTTGTAATAAATCACAAACGTTGGTTACAACGTTGTGAAGATATTGATATCTTTTTTGTAACTTCATATATTGATTATAATATTGTGAAGATACTAGCTGGTTGCATTTTTGTAAGTTTATTGTTAAATGTTATAAGTCTATTATTGAGTTTCAGTAAAATTAGTGATAATTAACATTGATAAAGCCATCTTAGTTGTAACAATTAAGGTGTTAAAACATTTTCTAATAATGGTCGGTGAAAGTCTGTCTCTATCACTTCAGAATCATAATGATAAAATAGTAACATTGGATAATAAACTTACCGAAAAACAACATTGAAAGGTATTTGTTGTAATTACTCCTCACTCAAATCAAGCAAACATAAACCAAAACACACAATCAACGCAAACCAAAATAGATTCAACACACAGTAGTTACCGTGGTTCATTTGTTCAATATTAAACAAGCTACGTCCACGTTGAGCTCCAGAATGTGGATGCTCGCTGCACTTACTATTACGATAAAGAACGGTTACAACCCTCAAACTCTCTTTCCTGTACAAGATTTCAATCAAGATCAAAACTGGCTTCAGAATAACAAAGATAAACCTACAATCTGTACTAAGAACTCTACACCAGGTTTCCACCCCACTAAGAAACACGACTCAATGGACAGATTATCAGCAGATTTACACACACACAAAGCCCTAATCTTGAACCCTAATCTGGTAACTTTGAGAGTTATCAAATAGAGAGAAAACTCTTTGTTTGTGATCTGAAAGGACCTCTGCTTTTATAGGTTTGACCCAACTTAAGTCCTCAGCCGTCAGATCTGTCCTCAAACCAACGATCAGGATGAAGTCTCGGCTTAAGTCAAAACGATGTCGCATAAGGCTTCACATATAACAATCTCCACCTTGAAGCCTTATTCTTTCCTCTGACAGTAATTAGCAGGTGCAGCAAGCAGTTCTCATACTCCTTCTTTGCTCTTTTGAATTCAGTTGATGTGAAGAATGTTCAAGCAGTGCTTGAAATTTACAGCAGTTACAACTTTGGTTCCCATATCAGATGGGTTTTCTTTAGTTGGAATTTTCAGCAGGCTGACAGTTCCATTTGAAATCTGGTCTCGGACAAAATGATACTTGACATCCACATGCTTCATCCTCTCATGGTATACTGGATTTTTACTTAGATGGATGACACTTTAACTGTCAGAATATACAGTTACAGGGCCATTCATCAAGTTTATCTCTTTCAAAATCCCTTGTAGCCATATTGCCTCCTTGAATGCATCAGTTACTGCTAGGGCTGTTCACGAGCCGAGTCGAGCCGAATTTCTGGATTAATGAACTCGGCTCGTGAAAGGGGAAAGGTAATCGAGTTCGAGCTGAGTCGAGCTAAGCTTATGTTTTTCTGACTCGACTCGGCTCGGCTCGTAAAGGATAGAGGGGATTTCGAGCCGGCTCGCCAGCCAGCTCGAAAAAGAGCAATTTTTTTAGAAAAAGAGCAATTTTTTTAGAAAAAAATTAAGTGCGGATTCCAATTTTTTTACGCCCCATTTATTCTTTAAAGGACTGAAGAATTAAATGCATATTCAGTGATTGGACAGGTCACAGACATACATACAACATACTCATAAAATAAAATTATATAAAAAATGGGAAAAAAAAAAGAAGGCAAAAATCACATCAACATAATCAGAGAGACAAAGAGTGAAAGTAATCTAAGAACTAAATAGAAAGAAATCAAATTAAAGTAATTAAAAAGAAAAGTAAATTACCACAAAAAGTAGAGCAGTAAAAGAATTTGGATTTTGGAAGGTCTGATTTTGTAGCCTTGAACAAAAAATAAATAAAAAAATAAACAAGAAATCATTGATGATAATTTTTGCATCTTTATCTGTTCCGGCTGAACTGAGTAGTAGTTGTTCTCACTTCTCATTTCTCAAACTCCAGTCCCTTCCCCCCCTCCCCCTCTCTCTCTCTCTCTCTCTCTCTCTCTCTCCTTCATTGAAGCTTGCGCCCCCATCACGAGCCTCTTCATCTCAGCTCAAATCCACTCTTTCTTTACTTTTAGCTTTTCTTTCATCTCCATTCACTCAAAACTAGCACGCCCCCCAATGCCCAGATTTTTTTCCTTCACTCTCAGAACAACCTAAGTAGAAATCTTCATTTTCGTTTTGTTTTTATTTCCATCATGAAGAGGGAGCATAACCAACTCGACCCACCAGCCAATTAGGCATCGAACACTGGAAAAGCCAAGATGTCGGAGGACTATCCTGCGGCGGCTGATATGAAATTTTTGGGTTTGGTTTGGTTTTACGGCAAAGAGTTGGAGTCGACATTTTTAGGGATTTTAAAATCGGGGGGGTCTTTTTATTTTTTAAAACTTTTTGTTTTGAAACTTTTAGTTTAATCCCCCATGTTTAGAAAACCCCCAAAAATCCCCTACGTATTCGAGCCAGGCTCGGCTCGCGAGCCTAATGAGTCGAGCAGATACATGCTCGAATTCGGCTCGTTCTCTCTTACGAATCGAGCCGAGCCAGCTCGAATCCATCCGAGTCGAGCCGTTAATGAGCCAAGACCGAGCCAAGCCGAGCCAACTTGCGAGTAGCTCGGTTCGTTAACCAGCCCTAGTTACTGCCACATACTCAGCTTCTGTTGTGGACAGTACCACTAATGGTTGAAGCTGGGATTTCCAGCTAATGTAATTTCCACCTAAAGTGAAATAGTAAGCTGTGGTGGACTTCTTTGAATCACGATCTCCTGCAAAATCAGAATCTACATACCCAACAAAATCAAGTGCAAGAGTTCTTTTGCAATAATCTAATCCAACATGCATTATAGTGTTAATGTATCTAAATAACCATTTTAAGGCAACCCAATACTCTATTCCTGGATTTGACATAAACCTACTTAATAGAGATATTGCAAATGAAAGATCAAGCTTAGTGCTTATCATTGAATACATCACTGATCCTATGGCACTAGAGTAGGGGATTTTTTTCCTTTTAATCCTATCTACATCAGTTTTAGGGGATTGCATTTTGCTTAATGTGAAATGACCTGCTAGGGGCAAATTTACAGTTTTAGCATCAGTCAAACCAAACCTAGATATCAGTTTCTGCAGATCTAGAAATTGATGGAGCTTCAGTTTAGTTGCTTTTCTATTCCTATCAATCATCATCCCTAATATCCTTTTTGCAGACCCTAGGCTTGTCATCTCAAATTCAGCATTTAATTTAGCTTTTAATTCATCTATTTGAGGTTTGGACTTACTAATTAACAACATGTCATCTACGTATAGCAGTAAGTATATTGGTATGTTATTAAAGCAAGTATAATACAAACAGTTATCATAAGCACTCCTAATGAACCCAATTCCCACTATAAAGGAGTCAAATCTTTTGTATCATTGCCTAGGGGATTGTTTGAGTCCATACAAGGACTTGTTCAACAGGTAGGCATACTTAGGTAGGTTTCTATCCCTAAACCCCAATGGTTGACTCATCTAAATTTTCTCTTCCAATTCACCATGTAAAAACGTAGTTTTAACATCTAACTGTTCCAGTTCTATGTCATATTGAGTTACTATAGCTAGCATAAGTCTAATTGTTTTAAACTTAACCACAGGAGAGAAAACTTCTGTAAAATTGATACCTGTCGTTTGTGTGTAGCCCTTTTTCCACTAGTCTTGCTTTGTATCTTGGAAGGTCTAAGCTTGTTAGGCATTCCTTTAGTTTAGAAAGCCACTTGCATTCAATTAGTTTCTAGTCAGTAGGTTTTGGGACCACAGTTCAAGTACTATTCTGTCTTAAGAATTTCATCTCCTCCTTCATTGCTTCCAGCCACTTTTTACTATCTTTTGAACTCACAGCTTCCTGATATGTCTCTGGCTCAGACCTCAGTGTTTCTACCCCAGCCACAAGGGCTGTGTAGATCAAATCTGCATAACTGTATCTGTTTGGGGGCCTTATTTCCCTTCTGACTCTGTCTCTAGCCAACTGGTAGTCTGCTAGGTTCTCATTCTGTTCTTCATCATTGTTCTTAGGCTGCTCATCTTCTTCATATTGGTCCCCAATGTTCTGCAGTGTGGTACTTTCTGGTTCTGTTTGTTCAGGTTGTTCTAAGTGTTATGTCAGGTTCTGTGGCTCCACCTCAAACTATGATCTCTCTGTTTGATCAAGTAGTTTAGGATCTGTTCTTGAGTTACCTGCATTGTCAGTAGACACTTTGCAAGGAAAGGTCAGCTCATTAAAGACTATATCTCCGCTGATTATGATCCTAACTCCTGGTGCATTTCTCTCCCACAACCTATAACCTTTAGTACCATCCTGGTACCCTAAGAAGACACATTTTAGGGACCTAGGTTCAAGCTTAGCCTATCTGGTATGTGCATATGCTACACACCCAAAGACCCTTAAGTGGTTAAGGTTAGGTTTCCTTCCAGACCATCTCTCTTTAGGGCATTTAAAACCTATTGAGTTGGATGGACTTCTATTGATCAAATAAGCAGCTGTAGTTAGGGCTTCTCCCCAAAAAGTCTTGGGTAGCCCAATAGTGAACAGAAGACACCTAACCTTTTCTAGGAGAGTCCTATTCATCCTCTCTGCAACCCCATTCTGTTATGGGGTTGCCTTGACAGTTCTATGCCTTTGTAACCCTTGATTTTGGCAGTAGGTGTCAAACTCTAAGTTACAAGACTCCAAACCATTATAAGTTCCAAGGGTTTTGACCTTTCTATCTAACTGTGTTTCTACAAGGGTTTTCCAACCTTTGAACTTGGTTAGAGTTTCGTCCTTAGACCTAAGAAGGTATACTCATACCTTTCTATTGTAATCGTCCACAATGGAGAGGAAGTATATGTTCCCTCTATATGACTTCATCTTTTCTGGACCCCAAAGGTCAGCATGAACATAGTCTAGACAGTGTGCAGCAAGATGAGTTCCTTTGTGAAAACTCATCCTGTGCTGTTTTCCAAGGATACAGGTTTCACAAAAATCTAGAGCAGTTACAACATCACTACCAAAATAACCTTGTTGTTTCAATGCATTCATACCATTCTGGCCTATATGGCCTAATCTCAAGTGCCATTTTGCTGCAGCAGATATGTTAGTAGACAATAAATTAGAATTAG